TTTCATTCTTTGTAAATATAGATGAGACTCAAAGATTGGCAAGAATGATTGCAGAGGAAACAATGAATTTTAATATTCAACGAGACTTTAATTGTGTAGAGAAATTCAATAAAGAACAACGATTTGCATATGATAAAGTTATGGAAAAAGTAAAAAATGACTCAAGTGGTACTTTCTTCATTGATGGTCCGGGGGGAACGGGAAAGACTTTTTTATACAAAGCACTTCTAACTGCTGTAAGAGGTCAATATTTCATTGCTTTGGCAACAGCGTCCTCTGGAGTCGCTGCGTCTCTGTTGCCTGGAGGTCGCACAGCTCATTCAAAATTTAAAATTCCTTTAGAAACAATTGGTGAAATAAATTGTTCTGTTAGCAAGCAATCAGCTTTAGGAATAATGTTGAAAATGTCTAGGTTAATAATTTGGGATGAAGCGCCTATGGTAAATCGTTGCGCTATTGAAGCTGTAGACAAATGCTTAGAGATATTACTGATTGTAACTTGCCTTTCGGTGGGAAAGTGATAGTTTTTGGAGAAGATTTTTGACAAGTTCTTCCAGTGGTACCGAGAGGGAAAAAAGATGATGTAATGAAAGCTAGCTTGGTATTTTCAGACCTATGGCCTTCCTATTTACGTTTACCATTGGTTGAGAATATGAGGGCAAAATCAGATCCTATGTTCTGCACTTACTCAGAATTGGAAATGGAACAGAAGAAGAACATACTTGTAAGTGCATTATGCTTCCGAATAGTATAATTCTACCATTTCGGATAATATAACTCTACCATTTGAAGATGAAATCACATCTTTAAAAATTTTGATACATCATGTTTTTCCAAATATACAGGCATATGTTGACAATTTACATAATATGATAAATAGAGTTATTCTTACACCTACGAATGAATGTGTTGATTATATTAACAAGATTTTACTCGAACAAATTCCCGATGATTTTTCCACATACTATAGTTTTGATGAAGCAACTGACAAATCGGAACAAAGCTTGCACAAAGATTTCTTGAATACTTTGACACCAAATGGTATTCCACCGCATGAATTGAAACTTAAGGTAAATTGTCTTGTAATGTTATTACGGAATATTAATCCTTCCGAGGGGTTATGTAACAGAACACGCCTTACTTGTCTAAAATTTGAGATAAATGTTATTTTTGCTGAAATCACAACTGGCGAATATTGTGGAAAACAAGTTTTCTTACCTAGGATCTCATTTATACCTCTTAAAACTGATCGAACTACAATTCAATTTAAAAGGATTCAGTTCCCAATTAGATCGTGCTTTGCAATGACAATAAATAAAGCCCAGGGTCAAACATTTAATTGCATAGGCTTGCATCTTCAAGAACCAATTTTTTTGCCATGGTAGTTATATGTAGCATTATCGAGAGCAAAAAAAGCAAATCTATAAAAATTCTACTGAAACCATCGAACTCAAATGATATGCACAACTTATGTACTAAAAATTGTTGTGTACAAGGAAGTTCTTTTGTCTTTACATTTATAGAACTGCAACTTTCTCATAGGTATATGTTAAATATATTGCAATTTTTCTCTTTGTCTATGAC